GAGCGTGCGCGGCGCTAAGGCGAGAGCCACATGTTGGAAAAGAACCGCCCTCAACCTGTCAACTTATGCAAATGTTGAAAAGCAAGGCGCGCGGTGCTAAGGCGAGAGCCACATTTAGAAAACGACCTGCCCTCAATCCGTGAAGCTCTCGCAACTATTGAAAACGAATGTGCGCGGCGCTACGGCGAGAGCCACATGTTGAAAACGACCCGCCCTCCATCCGTGAAGCCCTTGCAAATTTCTGGAAACGAATGTGCGCGGCGCTAATGCGGGAGCCACAGTTTGAAAACGACCCGCCCTCCATCTGTGAAACTGTTGTCACTTTTTAAGCTTCAGAGTCATAAGTGGTGAGGAAGTCTCAGGCGAAACGCACGGCCCGCCCTAAACACTGGCCCCGAGGTGCGACAGGGAGGAGTTATCTATAAGGAGATGGAATGGATGAGGAGGAGGAGGAGGAGGAGGAGGGCGAAGAGGAAGAGGAGGAGGGCGTCAGGAGAAGGAGGGGGAGGGCGAGGACGAGGGCGAGGGCGACTCCCCTGCTCGCGACTTCGCCCCCAGGGCTGCGACGCCCCCGAGCCCCACGCGGCGCCGAGCAGCGTCGTGGCCCTGCAGACGCTCCGCGCGGCGCGCCGCCCCCCCGCACCACCTGCCCGCTGCCCTCCGACGCCCTCCGTGCCCGGCCTCCCTGCGGCACACCCCGCGAGTCGTGGTCTGTGAGGAGGAGCAGGCAGCGCTGTGCACCTGCGGTCGCCCGCCTCCGCGCTTCGGCAGCGCGCCCGCTTCCGAGGGGCGCCGCCCCGCGCGCAGCGGGCGCGTCCTCGGGCGGGCGGCGGGCCGGGCCACCTCGCCCCCCTCGCCGAGAGGGGACGCACATCCTATGAGTCCGACATGGATCCGACACGGATCCGACGCGGATGGGACCGCGACGGGACAGACAAGGTCCCCCGAGGATGCAACAGAAGCCGCGGACGTCGACGTTCGGAGCGTCTGTGTGTGAATGTGTGAATGTGTGGAAATGTGTGTGTGTGTGTGTGTGTGCCGCCGACGGGGCCGCGGGAGCGGGCGGCCATCGGTCGTGCCCTGTCTGTGCTGCCGCCGCTGCGCTGGAAGATCGCCTCGGCCCAGAACCTTCCAGGATCGATGAGGCGTGAGGGTGGCCTTTCGCCGGAGCGACCTTGGGTGCGGGCCCACTAGCGTCCCCCGATCGCCGAGAAGCGTGCGACAGCCGCGGCGCTTGTGCGCTTGAGAGTCTGGGACTCCCGCGCCTGACTGACAGCCGCGCACCACAGGTCTTTCTGGCCTAGGGCCTTTCTCACGTCCAGCCGACAGGAGGGCTGAGCCTTGACGTCTGACCTTCCAGGAGGGCTGACCTTCCAGGAGGCGATTGGACAGCGGCACTGGAGCCTTGACGCCTACATTCCCGCCGAGGTTTTTCTGTGCAGCCCAGACAGGTCTGGAGGGCTATTCGCAAGCACTCTGGACGTACAGGCGAAGGAACCGCCCATGACCCTCCCAGGGAGCCTTGGCGGGCCTCAGCGGGCCTCCCGAGCAGGCCAGGCTGGCCTCAGCAGGCCACCCGCGTTCGGGGCTTGCTGAAGGTGCCCCTGGCCCAAGGCGCCCCACGCTCTCCGAGCAGTCCTGAAGGCCGGCACCCGGGCCACTCCCTTCTGTCGGGCCAGGCGAAAGGGGGGATTGGGAAAGGGGGGGTTACGAAATTTGCTGCATGCAGCTGGTTTCGGCTTCACCGAGGGGCCCATTCCTCGATACATAGCCGCCTCCGGCGCCGGGAGGCGCCGGGAAAATCAGCTACGTGAGCTGATTCTCAACCCCCTCCTTTGCTATCCCCCCCTTTCGCCCGACCCGATTCTGCCGGGGCTCAAGAGACGGGGGTCAATGCAAGCGGGCGTCAGTCTGAGCGCTGGATCTTGCAGGATCCTGCAGAGCCATGGCTTGTACTGACCCGGAGCAGAGTGCAGGATCCTGCAGGATCCTGCAGGATCTAACAAGATTCTGCAAAGCCTGACTGATCCGTGTCTGGATCGACCTGGGTCATTCGATCCCCAGCTGTGCGCGCCGCCGATGTACGCGCAGGAATCTCGGCTGACTTGCAGCGCCGCTTTTCGACGTGCTGGTGTCGCAGTCTTGGGCGGACGGCGCCGCGGGGGCCCTCCAGGCCAGCTGTCACCGCTGCGAGCGCCGCCGGTCTCATGCCTTGTTTCTGTCATCGCGCGCAGGTTTTGTCGTTAGTTCCCTACCTAGGCTCTGCCTAGAAGGGTTCTTACCCTGTGAGCTTAAGGGGCCGGGCAGTGGAAATCGCCCCGGGCGGTTCCCCCAGGATCCGCCCCGCGGTTCCCCCGGCATCCCCCACTTTGCCTAGCCTAGCTCAGCTTAGCTTAGCTGAGCTTAGCTAGGCTTAGCTTAGCTTAGCTTAGCTTAGCTTGGCTTAGCTTAGCTTTGCTTAGCTTAGCTTAGCTTAGCTTAGCCTAGCCTGTCTTAGCTTAGCTTAGCATGGCTTTGCTTACCCTAGCTCAGCGTAGCGCAGCGCAGCATAGCGCAGCGCAGCCTTAGCACAGCATAGCATAGCATAGCATAGCCAATCATAGCATAGCATAGCATAGCATAGCTCAGCATAGCATAGCATGTCATAGCATAGTATAGCATAGCGCATCATAGCATATCATAGCATATCATAGCATTGCTTAGCATAGTACATCACAGCATATCATAGCATGGCACAGCACATCATAGCATAGCATAGCATAACATAGCGCAGCATAGCATACGATAGCACAGCATATCATAGCGTGGTTTAGCATATCAGAGCATATCATAGCCTCGCATAGCATAGCATAGCGCAGCACCTCACATCATAGTATAGCATAGCGCAGCATAGCATAGCATATCATAGCATAGCATAGCAGAGCGAAACATAGCTTAGCTTACCTTAGCTTAGCTTAGCGCAGCGCAGCATACCGCGGCGCTAAGCTCGTGCTACTGCTCGTGCTACTGCTCGTGCACCGAATCCGTGACACATGCATTTGCCTTGATATGTGAGCCCAAGTTGTTTGTGCTGGGCCTGGCAGGCGGTGTGCAGAGTACATGTGGTGCGTCGCGGTCGTCCCCTTCCTCGAAAAAAATACCGCGGCGCAGCATTAGCACAGCACAGTATAGCATAGCATAGCATAGCATAGCCAAGCATAGCATAACATAGCATAGCATAGCATAGCATGCAACGCAAACGCAACACCAATGCGAATTTGTATATATATATATATAGATGTAGGTGTAGATGTAGATGTAGATGTGGATGTAGGTGTAGATGTAGACGTAGATGTAGATGTAGGTGTAGATGTAGGTGTGGATGTAGATGTAGATGTGAGTCTCGCTGTTGATGTTGATGTAGATGTAGATGCAGGTGTAGATGTTAATGTAGCTGTCGGTGTAGATGTAGATGTCGCTTTCCTAGATCCTCCAACTCCTAGGTAGGGTCGCACTGGGATCATTTTTGTTGGGGGGGGGGGCGCGAAAACCTGGCGTGCTGTAGGCACAACATCAGCTAAGGAATCGGCCTGCCAGCAGGCGCCCCGCGGAAATGTCCTGTCCCCCGGTGGCGCCAGGAGCACGAGCTCTTGGTCACGCTGGGCCCCCCGGAAGGCCGACGTAGGAGGCACCCCAGGACTTCTTTCCAGCGAGATGTCGAATCCTATGTGTCTACTGTAGGGTAGAGGTGGCGTGTACGCGCGCATGTAGAGGACAGTCAGGTTGCCGTCCAAGCTTTGCACAACTTGTGAGCCCTGCTTCGATACCCGTGCGACGCGAGCGCGGCATGTGTGTTGATTCCAGAGCGTCCAGGCATTTTGATGCACGAGATCGAATATGGAATTACAGCGAGGTCGGCTTCGCATTTGTTCTAACGATAGCACGTGCAAGCTGCAAACCATCCGCCCACATTGATGCAGCAAATCGCCATCGGGCATGTTTCTCGGGGAACGAACCAGGACGATTGCTGCATCCCAAACGTGGAAAGCTCTCTGGGCTGTGCAGTTACATAGAGACTACAGACGTGAGTTACCCAGAGGGAATGACGCTTAAGGCGTACGTAAACCCACATCAATTTGCGACTGGTTCACCATGTCCAGTAGTTCTACGTGGTGCCGCTCCTACTATGGCCGAATTCGTTTGAGTGCGTCCGTTTGGGTGTGCGATTCTCATGTGGAGCGAAAGCCATGTTGAAACACATGGCTTTGCAACAGAAGTCTTGGCATGCGGGATGATTATGGTTTCTGCTTCTGTTGGCTCCAGGTAGAGGGATGAGTAGTTAGAGACAGAGCGTAAGAGAGACAACTGGGAATACGAGCTACCAGCTCAGGCTAGAACAGCGAGAAGTCTTTCATGCTGAGGCCCCCTCTGAAGTTTTCGGCTGGGAATAGTCGTCCCTCCCCTCCTCGCGCCCCCTCGTCCTCCCCCACGACGACAGCGGCGTCGACGATGAAGACGGAGAAGGCCTCAGCAGTGGCCGCCGCGGGGGGATGTATTTTCCGAGTAGCGCTTCCGGTCCCAATCCGTCAATCAGCCCGCGCCAAAACATAATGAGCTTCCGTTTTAGAGAAAGGGTTTTCTTAAAGACCTTTCGAGGTTAACAGAATGCATCCCCGCTCGCTCCAACCACCCTCGATACCTGGCCCACGCGTGCTTCGGCGCAGCCGCGCCGAAGGCTGAGTCGGCGTCGTCCTCCTCCCCGTCCTCCTCAAGCAACAGTGCTGCTGCGAGTGGTGGCGCCGTGTTCTCCTGGAGGTGTGGGCTGCGAGTAAGCACGGCACGTCGTTCTGATTCCTTGCCGCGGTGATCCCCCACCGGGCCAGCCCGAGGAGGCGGAGGAGGAGCAGGATGGAGGAGGAGGGGGCGGAGGAGCAGGAGCAAATTGAGGAGGAGGAGGAGGAGAATGAGGAAAGGAGGCCTGCAGGCTGGGACGGGCTCTGCAAGGAGGTCCGGGACCTACTGGCAGCGGCCACCTTTGGCAGTGGGCACTTCCTGTGCACTCCCAGGAGGTGCGCAGAATCAAAGCGTTCACAAGACATAGTATGTATAGAGTGGCCTTCTTTGGCTCTGTTTAGATTGTCTGTCGGCGGCGACAATATCTCGCCACATGGGTCTCAAGATGCAAATGTTCTTCCTCGGGTTGAAGCTCGCGCGCCTTGCGTGGTGGGCCTGGAGGAACTGGGCACAGCTAGTTGTCGGCTTGACGCTCCTTGGAAGTGGCGTGGTCATGAAGCTGGCGCCAGCCTTTGATGTGCTAAGCCTCATTCAAGCAAAACTTCCAGTGGAAGTGGGCTTGAAAGCTTTTCAAGAAGATATCACCTCCGCATATGCCAGTTTTGTGAAGGTACCCTATCTTAAAGAGGCTTTGGCACACATCGGTTTGGACGCGCATTCCTTCATGGTAGCACTCAGCATATTTGACTTGATGTTCGCATTCTTGGTTCTCTTGGCAAAGGGACGCCGCCCAGCACAATTAGCAGGTACTTGGATGATGGTGGAGATGGCTGGCGCAGAATATTGTGTGCGTAAGTCAGGAATGTACATGTCCTCCGTGAAGGAATTGCCCCACTACGAGTTCGTGATGTCTTCAGTGCATGTGTACATATTCTATGAGGCATTCAAGTGTCTCCGTTGTGACGCAGTGGATCTTTCGGGTTGGGTATGGAGCTTCTTGCCAGCATCCTCTCAAGCATGCGTGACAACTGTGTGTGCCAAAACCTCTGGTCCTTTCAAGCTTGCGTGGGCGAAGGTCACAGGCTGGTGCAAGAAGGCCGCTGACACCGCGAAGAGGGCGGAGGAGAGAGCGGTGGAGACAGCCAAGAAGATCGAGGGGAAGGTCGAGGAGCGCGGCCGCGCAGTCCTGCCGGGTGGCTCCAGCAAGAACCGCACGTCGACGCCCGTGCCGGGCTGCAAGAAGAGCACGTGAGCGAGCGGCCCCGCCCACTTGCTGGCCCCGCGAGCCCGTGCGGCGGCCTCCCTGCCCGCGGCCGCCCGCGCGCGCGCCCGCGGGGGGCGACGGTGGCGCCCAGAGCGCGGCGCCGAGCGGCGGGGCGCCGGGGCGAGCGGCGCGCCCTGCCGAGCGGGCCCGGAGGGTGAGCAGTTCATTGCAGGTCTTGCCCCGGCCCTCCCTCCCTCCCTTCCCCCTCCGCCGCGGGGCTCTCGATGCGAGCATCGAGAACGCCTACACGGCGAATCGCCGCCGCCCCCTGCCGCATCTGCAGAGACGCCCCATGCGGCCAGGCGTTGGGCCGAAGGCAGGTCGAGCTATTGGCCCATGGGTTCCCCCAGCCGTGGTGGAACCCCGTGGGGGGACACTTGCGAGAGGACAAGACAGGAGAAGGAGAGGGAGGAGAAGGCGGAGGAGGAAGAAGAGGAGTAGGCTTCTTGAGGCCCCCTTGGGGCTCTTGGGTACTTTCTGGGAGCCTCTGGGGTGGCTCCACAGGGCACACTGATGGCCTCCTGGGGCCTCTTTGGGGTCTCCTGTGGCCGACCTCTTGGGGACATCTTGGAGGTCTCTGGGGAGGGGCCTCCTGGCCTTCGGAGGCCGTCTTGGGGCTTTCCTGTGCACTTCTCGGGGGCTTCTTTGGCAGTCTCAGGGCATTACTGGCCCGTCCGACGCCGTCGGAAGCCGTCTTGGGGGCCTCTCTGGGCCGACTTGAAACATCCTTGGGGTGTTCCAGGGCCGTCTTGGAGGCCACCTTGGGCGCCTTACAGGCCGCTTGCGCCGCCTGGGGGCCCTCTTGGGACCGTCTTGGGGGCCTCTTGGGCCGTTCCGGGACCGTCCTGGAGGCCTCTCGGGCGATCTTTCGGGGCTCTTGGGCCGTGTCGGGCCGTCAGAAGGCCGAACATAAGCAAATGCCAAAGTCTTTCAAAATCTTACGGAGAATCAGCGATTTGGGCAGCTTCGGCTCTTCCTGGAGGCCCTCTCGGAGGCCTCTTGGGCCGTCTTGGAGGCCTCTTGGGGGCCTGTTGGGCCGTCTTGGGCCATTTTAGAGCCGTCTTGGTAGGCTCCTGGCCCGTCTGACGCCATTGGAAGCTGTCTTGGGGGCCTCTCTGGACCGACTGTCGTCCCTCTTGGGGTGCTTCAGGGCCGTCTTGGAGGCCTCTTGAACCGTCTTGAGGCCCTGCTAGGGCGGTCTTGGGGACCTCTTGGGCCGTTCTCGGGTCATCTTTCGGGCCTATCGAGCGATCTTGGGGCGATATTTGGAAGCTCTTGGGCCGTGTCGGGCCGTCGGAAAACAGAGAAGCAAATGCCAAAATCCTGTTACAATGTCTGGCAAATCATGGTCGCGCGGGCACTTCCATGACAATGTGAACGGTTCGGCGTACACGGATTTCTCTATAGCCGCTCCTTTGCTCGAGCATTCGAAGGGGTCTGCATGTTTCCCGCCCTTCTCGGAAACGTCGGGCTTCCAGGAGTTTGTTGGGGCTCTCGGTCACAGCTCACTGGCCGACATAGCAGGACCGGCAGCGTGCCCTCGTCCTCTTCCATGCCCACCGTGTGAACTGCGTCGTGGCGAGGCGACGGTGCGTCCTGCCTGCGAGGTGAAGTACGGAGACGTGCCCCAGATCAGTTGTCCTGGCCTGGAGTGCCCAGCCCTGTCTGTACCTGCCTGCCTGGCCGCTGTAGCTTGTGAGGGGCAAGCGGCCCCAGGAGCTCGTGCCTACGAAATCCTGGGAGGCGTGTTGGTTGGATCGGCTATCACTCTGATCGGTCAGTGGGCTGCTGGTCGTGGACAGCAAGATATTGGCCGCTCGCGCTCCGAGAGTAGGGCCAGAGGCGTGGTGGACACCCCTGGTGCCGGGGACGCGTCTTCTATTCAAGTACGAAGAGGATCTAGCCCACGAGCGCGTCCTTATCTGGCCACTCTCCAATAAGCACTGGGTCGTGCTGATCCCAGATGGTGACATTTATGACAAGGTGCTTGAGGATGAGGACGCCGAAGAGGTGTACGCTGTACGGAAAGGATGTCGCCTTCCCCCCGATCCGGCTCGCCCTGACCACCGTTTCCGAGGCAACCTGGATGTGGAAGCTTTTCGGACGGCCGTCCGAAAAGGACGTGCTGAGGTTGAGCGATTTCACGCGGAGGGAGCTGGCGCCTTGGTTGAGCCCGCTGATGCGCGAGGCTGGTGTGACGGGGGTGGTGCCGACTTCCCAGTGGGTGATCTACTGGGGGCGCCTGTGGCTGACGCAGTCGCTAGAGCACCTCGCGTGGACGCTGAGCCTGGCATGGTCTGGGTGGTCGCCGCCGCCGAGACGCCGAGCTTCTCCCTGGGCCAGAAAGCCAGTGGCGGGAAGCTGGGGGCGGTGGCCGGTCTCAAGGGACTGTATCGGCTGCGCGCCTTTGGTGGTGGCATCGAGATGGTTGTGTTCGTTGAGGAGGTCCAGGGGGATGCCCTCGGTGACTACGCTGAGCTGCGACGACCCGCCATTCAGGAGTGGGCGGGGGGTTCGGCCACGCCGCGAGCTGCTGGCAGCGAGGTCCCCATGCCCGCCGAGGACGGAGAAGTGGACGACGCTCGTACTGCGTCTGTGCTGCATCATGAGCAGGGCGAGCGTTGGCGACCGCGGCGACGCGTGGCAGCTTCCTCTTCTTCGGCGGATGTATATGAGGACTGGCCTTCCGAAGGCTCGCGTACTACCCAGTGGTTGTCGGAACGCGTAGAGCGCATTGATGGGTCGCCGATGCAATGGTATCATAATTTCCTTGCCGATTCAGAGACTGCTCCCGCGGATCGGATGGCCCACGAGTTGCAAGTGATCTGTGGGGCCTTCGAGCATGCTGGATCGCGTGACCACTTGACTAATGCCTTTGAAGTCTTGTTTCGAGGCTTTGCCCCGGCGGCTGCAGCTGCTCCTCGATGCCGAATCGAGGGGCCCTAGTGATCCAAAGTTCGACGACGTTGAATTGTGGATGGGCGCGCGGCAGCATTCCCTCGGCATTGCGCCATCGTCGGCAGCCCACGTCGCGAAGAGATCGAGGGGCCAGGCCGATATCGAGACGGCCAGGCAGAGAGCGAAGGAGGCGCGGGGACCGAAGAAGGCCCCTCTGCCTCCGAAGAAGACGCGAGCAGCAGTCCTCTCTTCGCCCAAGTGCTCGGGGGCGGAGGGGGGCGAGACCAGGCCGAGGCGAACAGGCTTGCGCTTGAGGCGTGTCGCCGCCGATATTCTCGAGATGCCGCAGGGTTTCGCGGGGGGCTCGACAGCGTGCTGGGCGAGAACGCCACGCTGCTCTGCGAGTCAACCACGCCGTGGAGTCGCCGAACTGGCTCGCCGGATGCGATGGCGTTGCCCCCGAGGTGTTCACCGAGAGCCATTCTCGAGTCCTGGAGATGCTGATGGCGCCGCGAGGAAGTGTGCGCTCACCGAGCCCGCGCGACAAACGCATGTAGCTGCCAGCCAGCTTCTGCATGTCCGAGCAGGCTACTGCTCGGAAGAGTCTCGTGTGGTGCCGTTCAAGCTAAAGTTGGTTCCCCTTCCCGATGTCCACTCGCGCCCCGCCGTGGACTTGCCGGCGGGTCGCGATCGCGGGCTTCTCAGTCACTTCGAGGAGCGGGTCGTCAGGTCGGATGTAGAGTTTGGGGAGATCGAGGATAATGACGGCCCCATCGTGCCCCACTTAGACGCGCGCCTGAAGTCCGACGTTGGCCTGTGCACCGCCTTTGTCAGGCAGCCCGTCGAGACTGGCGTCGCGCGATGGCGCCGCTACGCGAAGGAGAGGGCGACCCTCTTCTTTGTTACAAAGAAGGGGCGCTGACGCCTGATAGTGGGCGGCCGTCGTGCGAATCGCCGCTTTCACGGTCCACCCTCTGCGAACCTCGCGACTTGTGAATCTTCTGGTACAGGAGAGGTGTTGGGTGACCTTGCGATGCGCGCCGCTTCAACGGACGTGCAGGATTGTTTCTACGGGTTCAGGATCGATGAGGAGTGTAGCCGATATTTTGGCACGCCTGCAATTCGAGCTCGCGGCGCTGAGCCGGCGGGAAAGTTATTGGAAGGTGCCGTGCTCGAGCCCGACGATTGGGGTCATCCCTGTTTCGCTGCCCTGCCGATGTGTTTCAAGTGGAGCCTCTCTTTTGCGCAAGTGGTCAACCAAGGGCAGGTCGGGGAAGCGCCTGATCTGAAGCCCCCAGACGGCTGCAACAGTTTGGAGTAGGGCAGCTTCTCCAAAGCGCCCGTGCCACGCGTGCGCTGCATCTGCGTTGACAACGTCGGGGTGCTCGGTGGCACCGTGGGCCTTGCTCGGCGGCTCGCCGATGAGGCCTCGAAGATGTTGAACGTCGCGGGCCTCGGCGCACAAGACGACGAGAAGGCCGCCCCGCAGAGCGTCAAACTTGGAGCGATGCTTGACGGGGTCCGTTCATTGGCCCACACTGCTGAGAAGAGACCCTGGGGTTTGGTGGATCGGCGCATCAGTCGGGCGCTGGCCCGCGGCGCTCTCAGTCCGAAGGGCATGGGGAAGCTCATTGGGCACCTCGCCTTCGCATGCATGCTGAGGAGGCCTATGCTGTCAGTGCTCCAAGCTTGCTACCAATTTGCTCGCGTGGGCGGAGTCCGGGATGTCCCCCCGCGGGGGTCCGTGGCCTGTCGGGGCGACCACTTGCTCGCCAAGTCGTCTTGGGACCTTGTCAGGGGCCAGCGGGTGATTGCTACTGGCGCCTGCTTCACTGGGGCGGGGGTCGTGGCAGCTGGCATGGGTCTTGATTGCGTGAGGGGATGTGGTCGCCGTGACGAGAGACAACGTTTCCGTAGTCCAGGAGCGCAGGGCCTCTCGCCCCGGTCGTCGTGCTAGGTGCGGTCTGGAAGCCGGTGTTCGAGACGCCGTTTCGGGCCCCTTCGCTGCTAGGGTACCCCGAGGAACATTTTAACCTGAAGAATGGGATGTGGATCCGGGTTTCCCTGGGGCACCGTCTGACCCTGCAAGAAGTGCTCAATCGCGCCCGCTGTATTCTCGGCGTTTCGATCGGAAAGAACACATTCACATTTCTTGAGGAGAAGGCGGTTATTTGGGCTCTCCGGCGTCAGTCCAAGGATCATCGTAATCATTGTTGGCCTCGTGTGTACCTGTGCGATAATATGAGCGTCGCCCTGGCTTTGTCAAAAGGGTAGGCGTGTGATGCTAAACTCAGATATTGTTGTAGACGGTTTGCGGTCCCCGTGATAGCCA